CCTGGCACCGTCGTTACTGGTTTTTCGGCGCCAGGTAAAGACCTTTTTATTTAAACATCATTTCAATTGTTAAAACATATGATCTGGCCTGGGCAACTTCTTCTTCCTTCTTTTTCTCCTCCTATATTTTTATTTTATACTGATAATTTTAATTTTGTATTTGTAAATCAATGTATTTTTTGTATTGTTATATTTAATGGTAATTTATTATGTACTATTGTATTTCAATGTATTTTATCATGTTGTAAGCCGCCCCGAGGTTTCGGCAAGGGGCGGCATAGAAATGTTATAATAATAATAATAATAATAATAATAATTAATAATAATAATAATACTATGAATAGGGGTAATCAGGTGGAGATCCACCCTAAACTATCCATTTGCCAAGTCTTTCCAATGGAACTATGGGTGCATTTTGAGCCAGGAAGTGTTTCAACTTTCAGCTCTTCTGTAATAAAACTTGTGGACCTGAATGCTAGAATGGATCAGAGGTGCTGGTACAGGTGTACGAGACTGCTAGACAGAGCTGTGATTTTCTTGCTCTCCTGCAGCTGTTTTCCAATGTGTGTGTATTGCTGGATGCGGCCTTCACCCCTTCCAGTATCTATAGCAACAGCAGCAGTTTTGCGGACTGATGTCTTCATTATACCTCAATTTGTATAGGGAAATTATACACTGCTTTTTGTTTGCACTGACACAGGAGAATAGAAACCCACTTCTCTGCTCCCAGGAGAGTAGGAAAGAAAGCATGCTGCACCTAAATCTGACCCGCTGTGTGTGGGGATGTACAGATTTTGTTGAATCCATTCCAGCTGCATTTCATGGATTGTAAGGTGCTTTTTGTTCATTAACCGAATCATTTTGTGCAAATTAGCACTTCCAAAAATGCGTAAACTCCCTGAAAAATGCACATCTTCATGTTTTCTTGTCTTTTTATTTGACATATTTTTACACCTAAATGTGCATAAATTATAGGAAGTTTTTTTTAAACTGATCTACAAATCCTTGGAATAGATGTGACTGAGAAAAGCTGATCCTTTGCAGAATTCATTGCTCAGTTTCCTTGGAATTTGGTCTTATTTAAATTCGTCGTACCTTTTGCTCATATCTGTAGGTGTGAGGGATGTGCCTGGGATCGCTGTAGCACAAGGAGAGCAACAACAGGGGTATGTTCCCCTTAAGCATGTTCTTGAGGAGAACTCGGTCTTGCTATGCAAGAAAAAGGAGTGCCTATGGGACACTATAAGGTGATAAACAGGCTCCATTAAAGCATCATCTGTACTTACCCGTTTGAAAATTGTTCTCAAGCATGGCAAATAATTCTCCTCTTGGAAAAGTAAAACTGTACTCCCATTCCTTAGACAGAAGGGTGTAAGAAGTATAAAGACCAGCAAGAGCATAAATTACTTGAACAGCCTCTTTTTATCTCTGGGTATGCAGTCTTTTCATTCAAAGTCTCACCCTGAGGTACATTTTTATGGCTGAAAAAATGGGGTAGAAAAAGCAAGGCTGGCAGATCTTTGCATAAATTGGAACTCTGTTTCCATAACATTGGAAATACTTACTGGCTGCAACCAATAATTAGATCTGCACAAATGGCGGTGGTGACATTTCATGTACTGAATAGTTAACAATTTAACACTCCTTGTTTGGAAGAAGGGAAACCTTATTTAGGGTGTAATTCTGTATATGTTTAGAATGGGAAAGAGTCCTACAATTGCCAGTATTCTCCAGCCAGCATGGAAAATGCTAGGAACTGTTTGACTTTAAACATATATACAATTTCTCCCTAAGACAGACTCTTAAATTAGAACAGTTACATGAGAGAAAATATAGCCCAAACAAAGCAGGAAAAAACAGTATAGGCAGGCCAAAACATCTCAAGTGTAACAAACACTACTACTGTTTAATATGAATTTACTGCCAACAGTATAGATGTAATATAAGAGACAAACCTGAAATATGCTTGAACTTACATTTCCCCCACACAAAGCCCCAAGTCTTTGCCCAGCAGGTCAAATTGGCTGAAAAGTATCCTTAATAAAATGTTTCATTTGGTCCTGGAAGTGTTACTGGGTATCAGGCAAGGTTTTAAAAACTGAGAAATCTGAAAGGAAAGTTTCTACAAAAGAAGCCAAATTCCTCATCACCCAGTTATAACTTATTTCTTCAGTTAATGCTACATGTGTGTTTTTGTGGGAGGAGACACTGATGGCTAAAAGCCAAATAATTCCTGCTTTATTTTTTTGTGCTGTGAATATCAAGTGGCCAGGGAAAGATTTTAAAGTACCTACACTGAAATCAAGTCAAGAGTGTTTTGAAGAAATTGGTTAAGAAAATATTTGGATCAATTCCTTCCAGAAGTAGATGGATTTAGCACAAATGCTTTTTGTCTAGACATTTTGGGATTTAAAGGCTTCATGACCTATTGTGCTGTTTTCCAAAACTGACTGTGCAGTGGGTTCTTTGGAACTATTTTTAATCATTATCACTGCCCGTGATGGAAAAATAACTGCTTGGTTTGGCTATAGTCCAGTTGCGTCATTTTATTACCAAGTATTTATCCTGTCAAAATTTTATTTGCTCATTGTAAGCAGAGAAATGAAAAGGCCATCATTTCCCTTAGACTTCCAGTAGTACTCAGCTAGAACTTTAATTATCCTTTTGTTCTATCGTAGGAAGGTTATATGCTAGCAATGTTGCTCTCCTCCTTAAAGAAAAATGGGGGAAAAATACAAAAACTGCAATCCTTTGGCTTTCCAGCATCATCTAGGAAGCTGTAGGACTCTTTGGAGATCAGGTACTCATTTAGTTACTGACATTGGGTATGCAGTGAGATTTCAACAGCCAAGAACCCACCCTGCTCACTTACAGCCACTAGGGAAGGAATTGCCATGAGCTAGACCCTTCCCTCCTCCCATCAGGGTCCAAAACTCAAGACAATCCTTTGAAATGTAGTTCTTTTATTGAAACCCTACTGTTAACAGGAAAGTTTAATTCTAAATAGGCTGTTGCAAAGCTGGAAGGAAACATATAAAAAGCTCATATAAAAGTTGAATGCAACTGGAAACTTCTCTTGGTCCCTCCCTTTCAATAAGTCTACTGGCTCTACCACTCGGGGGTGGGGGGGTGGAGGGGGCAGAGCTCTTGTAAATGGAGGGCACTATGGCTAGAGCAACATAGACCAGCCAGCTGATCAGCTTGTCTCACCTGACCCCTTTTTACTGAGTCAAGGACTGGGTCCCGCATACACTCCCCATCCCCTCCTGAAAACCCTTCCATCTCTCCCTAAACAGATTGACTTTTACACCCAGCCTTGCCTATCCTTGATGCTAGCTCCCCGTCCCCAGTGCCTTTGAGGAAGAATAGACACGTGCACAGTTTCTTGCTGCTGCTATGTCCAAAGCTAAACAGGAATATAAATGCTTGCTCTGATTCTCATTCCACCCCAAGAACCCTTTTTGTTAAAAAAAACACAGACAGTCTGAGGCTCTTCTAGAATAAAGACTGCAAAACCCAAGATGCAGTGTAACTGTGGTGTGTCTGTGTGGGTGCATGCCCATGTGTGTGCACGCGCTTTTTTGAATTCAAATGAGAAACTGGATTTTCTATGGAAATCCACTGCCTTGCAAACTAACCTCCATCTCCTCCACCACTTTCCAAACTGAATTTCTGCAGTGCCTTTTGAAAACTAGTAAAAACCAGCACATTGAAATGTATTCAGAAGTAAAATAGAGGCCCAGAGAAATAGAAGGTCTTAGTAGACTTCAGGCTGAGAATAATGGTATGAGAAGACTTCCAGATGATGCTATTATTATGTCATGCTTTGCCTCATTGATGGAATTTGATGTGGGAGTCAGATGACATTGTCTTCCATTTGTAACCAATCTGTATTTCCCCTCCATTCCATTCAACTTTTTTATCTCATTGCAGAAAATGCATTGGGGGCAGGGAGACCAAATCTCTGTACAATGTCTTCTTGATTACTAACACTAAGAGCTCTGCATCAGGAAAGGTGGGGGCAACATAAAAGCAGCAAAGGGGGCAAAGGCAGTCCAGGAGAAGGGGTATTTTGAGGTAAAATGCCACTCCATTTCTCACTGGACAAATCAGATATAAATATAGCAAGGACAGGGAGAGGATAAATTACGAGACTGTGTAACATAACTCTTGTGAGCTAGCTGATCATTTCCTATTTGCTCTTGTAACCGTTACTTCTGCCTATGAGCATAATGCACTGGATAACTGAGATATTTCAAATGTGCTTGCTTTATACATTGGTTCAACTGATTTAATTGAACACGAAGAAAATATTTTTCACAGGTGTCCCTTGTATTGATTGTAGTCAGGGAAAGAAGCATCTTCTTTATTAAAGTACAAAAGTGTTAAACTTTTATGAAAGAGTGAACACAATCTTGTGTCTCCTTCCTGCAAAGCATCTCACACTTGAGCCAAGTGTAACATAAATCTACTTCCTGTGACTGGGGCAAGCTGCTGTGAGTGTCACTGTATAGCTGCCTACCACAACAACTGGAGGCATTTTGAATGACACATGTTTACACAGAAACATCTGCCTTTCTCCTTTTAGCCAACACCCATTCAAAGACCCATGACTGTTTGTTTGCATAACACTTCCTGCATAAGCATTCCAGTCATAAATTTAACCAAACTAAAGCTTTCTATGGCCACTTTTAAACTTTCCAGTTTTACTTTTTGTGGTGGAAGCTGGGGGTGCTATCCAAAAGGCAACTGTAGAATGGGAAATGGAGGATTAAAAGGTAGCTCAAACGATCAAGAGGCTGGAGTAAAGCATTCAGCATTTGGGGGCTTTTTTTAACTTAGAAAATGGAAGCTAAGAGAGGATGACATTGATGTATAAAATTATGTATCATGTGAGTCATTCTAAGGAAAAGCGAGAGGATACTGTTTTCCTATGTAATCGGATCTTATAATCCTTTGAATTGCAAGATATGAATATATCTCCATGTTTCTTGTTTTAGATTGAGGATGCCATTTTTAAATACTTGAGAAGTGATGCAAGAGCAGTGATACTGTACATCCCTTCTTCCGGCAGTAAACAAGACCTTCAATTATATCAACGTATCCTTACCCAACATAGTTATACAGTTACAGTTGTTGAAGACAGGAAACTGAACAGACATGAAATCCCCAATCCAGGTGAGAATACTCAGTTTTTTATGTGGCCCTGTATTCCAGAGTTTATGAATAAGTTGGTTTAGGAATTTAGAGACATTGTGGTCTAAGGTTACCACATACTAGATCCTATGTAGTAATATGTTACTATTTTTATTTCTAAAGGGCGGTCAAACAGCCTTGGGCTTGTGTGCATTTCCTTCCCATCTCATCTGTTCTCCTTTTATACCTGCAAGGAGAAGACTGGAATGGCTTAAACTATAGTACTCCATGACATCCTAAATTGGAAACCAATGATTTCCGATCCTGGCTTGTTCTTAAACACTAGGGCTTTTCTAAATGAGGCTTTTAACCACTAAATGAGGCCACTTCACTATGGCTTCTATTTTTGTGGGAATTAAGATTGGTTCCTTCACACATGTTTTTTCCTGGGGGTTTCCTTTCTCTTACTTCTATATATTCCATTACACAACCAATAGGTGATGTTGTGGCATAACAGAGCAGTTAAAATACAGGAGACAGTTCACAAACACTACTTTTCTCCATCTAAAAAAAGCTGTGGAATTGATTGCAAAGAGGATGAGGATATCACATAAAGTGCTTCCATAAGTGAAGAATCGTGGATATACAATAGATGCTCATAGTTTAAATAAGCCACAGTTTCCTGAAACTGGACATCTTAGTGAACTATGGTTAGTTTAAAATTGGAAGATGATTAACTCGACTAAGAATTAGTGCAGCTCATTCGCATAGCAGGAAAGCACGGTTATCCTCAGATACTGTTTAGGGGCTAGAGGACAGCTTTGCAAGAACTTTCAAGTTACTATGCATTTATTTATCTTATTTACTCTTCCCTGCTGAGAGTCACAAGGCAATCATGAGTGGGGCCAAAGTCAGTTCTGGGCAGAGCTGGTTCAAAAGTGGATGGTTCACTCTTTTTTGCTTTCAGTTTCTGCCACTTTTTCCCCTTTCTTTCTGCCACTCAGTCTGTTTCTCTGCCTTTTCTCATGCAGCTGGGCTGCCAGCAAAGGAATAGATCTCTGTTGTCAGAAGTCTAAATTAACTGCATGCAGCAGACTTCTGAAATTAGGTTAGGAGTTGCAGGTTCCCCAGCCCAGCCCCTACACCAAGAGGTTCTTGCTTCCTTGCACTAGGGAGAAATTCAATTTTTCAGTCACCCTGTGAGGCAGGCTAGGCTGAGAAGGTATGACCAACTCCAGGACTAACCCAATAAGCTCCATGACTGAGCTGATATAAACTCAAACCAGTTCGGCAACCTGTCACTGCACCCTGCTGGCCTAAGAGTTCAGCCCAAAGTTCCTAAAGTGGTGCATGTCAATTTGTCTGTTATTGGAAAAATGTATCCCACTCAATTGTTTCTGGGATTCTCAAGATAGCTAACTAAAAATGCTCAAGAAGATTAAAATACAGAACATACCATAACAAGTTGCAACAGTAAACCAGTCAGAATTTAGGGGGCAACTAAGCCAACCTCCTGCTTATCAAAAACAACAACAACAACAAACTTGATTGCTATCTCAAGACCATGCAGGAGGGACCAATCTGATCTCCTGGGTACAATGATACCAAAGCCCTACTGCCTTGATGAAGAAGTGCCCCCAAGACAGGGCAGGGTATAGACTGCAGTCCGCATTGAAGTGGATGGGCATGATCACATAAATAGCAGCAGGTCAGGGTTGTGAAAGATGTGGTCTTTATGAACCAAACCTGAAAGGTTTTGCAAGCCAGTGTGGTCTGGTGGAGAGAGTGTTGGAGTGAGGATGGAGAGATCTCCGTTTTAGTCCCCACTTGCCCATGATGTTCGCTGGGTGACTTTGGGACAATCACAGGTCTCAGCCTAACCTAGCTCTACAATTGCTGTCATTGTACATGCTGGCTGGGGCTGATGGAAGTTGGAGTCCAGCAAGCTCTGGAGGACCACAGGTCACTCATCCTGATGTAGCATAAAGTCACAATTTCCATGCAGGATAACTGAGGGGGGTTGTTAAGCTCAAGTTGTTCAAGATCCTCAGTGAAGATAGTAAAACCTTGAAAGCAAATGCAGCAGTGAATTACATAGTCAGGTGATATTTATGCATGATTTGAGATCAACAATAGTAATTCCTCACATTTTTCTCCAGCAACAAGAGTTGATTTTAATTCTTTCTGTTAACATGCAGCTCTACCTTCCTTCAAGTATGGGAACATAAAGAAATGCAGGCAATTTTAATATATAAATATTTTATCATTTCTGTTCTGTGGTTTGGAAATGTGTTGTAGTCTGTTCAGATTTCCCAATTTAGGAGCAAGCTTTTCAAAGAAATTTCAGTGAAGTAACTTATATATCAAACTGATGATCTTCTGGAAAACAGATGGAAAATAATTTTTTTTCTCTTACTAGCAAATAACATTTTCTTATAGTTTTAGCAAGACTGGTACTTGGTGCACTAATTTCTGAAGGCATATTTTTATGTTGTATCAGCACATTTTCCAAGTAGTGGAAGTATTCTAATTTATAAAAGTGCTCTCCTTGAAGGCACAATTTAACAGATTCAGGTAATATATACTGAAGGATATTAACCAAAAGTGGTAGCATAAACAGACAAGAATCACTTCTCATCTGTTATAATTTAGTGGCCTTTTCCAATGCCTTTTTTTACACTCAGTTTTGAGTTTCAAAAGACTGTCTGGTTCTTGTTTCTCTTAGAGTTCAGAGGAATATTTTAAGGATTTTAAAAGCTACCTTTGAACAGACAGACCAAGCAGAAAGTTTATCTGTGAAAACTAAACCTTTTTCTTCTTTACTCTGATCTCCTTCCCCCAAATACTTGTACATATTCAGGAAAATAATATTTCCATGTAAAGTCCATATCTAATCATCTATGCCCTAATCTTATGGGCTGGTTGTTTACTTGAACTGTTCATAGGACCAGGAGTAGTCTGGGGACAATAGCTCTGCAATAGTTATTATGCTTGGCACTATCCAAGTTGTTATGCTTGAACTATCCAAGTTCAATTTCTCGCATCTCCAGTTAAATAGCAAGTAGCACAGATAGGAAACCCTCATGCCTGAGATCTTGGAGTGTTGCCAGTCAAGAGAACATAATGCAGGCTTGATGGGACCTGGTATATGGCAGCCATGGATGTTTCATATCTATGTCACATGGAAGCAATGTAACAAGTAAGGCAGGAACTTTTTGATCTTTGCCAGGGAAACCTTCATATGCTTCAAAGGGGGGAAACTGAACAGCTGGGCTCAGTGGACACTTCAGAAGTGAAGAGAGAACTCCTGTGAATAATAAAACCAATCCAAAGTAAAAGGTGCAGAGCTCCTTACAATGTGTTCGGAGAGTAAACAGGTATATAAGAATGGGTTTACCAACTGGCGTGCCAACACATTACCAAATATGGCACCATATTGGTACTACAGAAATTCTATAGAAGGATTACACACAGATACACTATAGGAATGGGCAGTTACTAAATTAGAAATCTTAAATTTCAAGGTATATCTGCAATAATGCATCCCTTTCTTGCTTCCCTGCACATACAATATCACCATCACCTCCTGCTTTTACAATCCTATGTAAACAGAATAGGTTGTGCTAAGGCAGCTTTTCTGAAGAACTGCTTTGTATGTGTGTGAAAATTTAAGGATCCAAAGGAGGATATAAATTCCCTGTATAGCTCTTGGAACAACACTCCTATGCAGCTGCTGAGGAAGAAGCAGAGTTGGCTGTTTTAGGACAGAGAAAAGAAAGGTTACAAAAGTATAATGGCCCACTAACTTAGCATGTATCAGAAAAGTGATTGCTATGTAAGACAATCCAGCTGCCATTCTGAGCTACAGTAACCAAGCCACTGTTACTTATTTTACTTAGCAGCTTGTGGTACTTATTTTTACCACTTTACTTAGCTGGGGTTAGGCCTCTTGCTGCAGTCCAGTTTTGCTGAAACCTTTTAGCAATGACAAAGATGCAGCTGAGAAGATAAACAGATGACGGAAAGATATAAAATGCATAACAGAGTATGAAATGTTACAGGCATTAACTCTGTTAGCCTGGAGAAAATAATGTCAAGGGGGGACATGACTGACAATCCTTCAGACTGCCGTGAAGATGGAAAACAATTATGCTATTTTACCTCTAAGAATAGAAAAAGACAGAGTGGCCATTATCCAATACTGAAGTAAGCATGTATAAACCCACTGAAATCTCAACATCCGTATTAGGAGAAAAAATAGTGCTGTGAGAATATCTCGATTCTTTCTGTTTCTCAATTCTTTCAGAAGTCCACTGTTTCAGCTGTTTCTTTGGGGGTGGAGGGAAGAAAAGTCTAGTGAAAGGGACTGCAGAAGTGAGAGTGTTGAATAATTTTCTGCTTGGGGAAGTGGAAAGGATTCCAACTTGCCCTTTTAAGTGTAGGCAGTGGACGAGGGATCTTTTTTTCTTCTCCCTCCCTCCCTCCCTCCCTTCTTTACTATAAAAATGCCCTTATCCCTGTACCTGCTGCAGCCCAGAATCTTCTCCAGCCTGACAACTCTTTCTGAACACCCACGAGACTATGGGACCTCTCCTTCTCTCAAAGGCCTTCAGGACATGCTTCTGGGCTGCAGAAATCTCTCTGTAAAGAGTTCCAAGCAAGGAGAAATGATGCTTTAGAAAACCTTTAGAAAAACTCTGATCTTGCTTTCAGTAGCACAGAGATATTTGCAGAGAAGCTTTCCACAGGGAGGCATTCAGAACTCTTGCTGGTAAAATGTCACAAAAATAGGATGGGGAAAAATAGAGAAACATGGGTGACTTCACGTCAAAGTCACGAAGACTGTCTGAAATGAGAGGAGAGGTTGCAGGCATTCGGATTGGGTTCCATTGCATGGTATAATTGTTCCAGCTCCTACCTGGAACTGGCTGAGGACAGCTGAGATGAAGAAATCAGAGCAACTTTCAGCAGTGAAAGATTTCACCCTTATCGGGGTGGCCAACTCCAAGAGTTCTGGGGGGCCAGTTTCCTGTCCCTAGATG